TCAAGACGGTCCGGGCGGAGGGACCCATGGCGCTGTACAAGGGTTTCGTGCCCACCGTGTCCCGTCAAGGCCCCTTCACCGTCGTCCTCTTCGTCACGCTCGAGCAGGTGCGCAAGCTGCTCAAGGACGTCTGACCGCCACTCGCTGGTCTCAAACGCCCGACCGATACGCCACAGTTACTTCCACGAACGGCTCTGATGATGACGACGACAAATTAGACAGATTATTCCAAGTATTATTTACAGCTCCATACGAATACTACAAAATTCTGTGCGTTCCTATGTTTTATGATGTCATGCAAAAGCGTGTAATACAGATTCGTTCCAACGGAAGCCCAACACTATGGTCGCACCACATTTGAACTGGTGCGACTGCACGCGTTGTGCCTATATCCGATGGTTTCGTGGACTGGAGCGATTGGTTAAACAGCAAGTGGTGGTGCGACCGTCGTTTGGATCCCAATGTGGCATTAAAAGCAGTGAATGCATTAAAAATGTTAATTACGTCTCAATAATTTATGCCGATAAACCACAGAAATAAGCTATGTTTTTTAGCGTAAGGAATGTCCCTTACAAAAAGAACCTCTTTTGTTCATTAATAATGCAGCACGAGTTTTCAATCGCAGAAGAAAGACCAGTCTGTGTTTGGTGGTTTGACTAAGACATTCAAACTAAGTGGCGTGTAGGCCCCATGTTTGGTGAGAGGGAAGCGTGTTCCCTGACCCGGCCATGACAGGCAAGCTCGACGCAGCCGTTGTTGGTGTGCGTGGCTAACTCTGGGCTCACGCAGTCACTAACTTTCCCCTCTCCGACGCGGCCGTGTTCCTCGCCTTCCGCCTCCTGGAATCCGAAACCGCCACGCCACCATAGAGAATGTGGTGGGACGAAGAATTCCGAGAAGAAGAAGAAGTGGAGGAAGAGGAGCAGCGAGAATCTCCGGTCGATTTTGATTTCTTCTCCCTCCTGTCCAAGCCAAAGGTGACCCTAAATCTACCTCCTCCTCCGTTGTCATTTATGGGATTTGTTGGTTAGAAATAAAGCCATCGTGTTAACTCGTGGTCGATTCTTTGGTTGATAGAATTTGGGACCCTTTTTTTGGTATATTGTTTGTTCTAGGCTACTTTCTGGGAGATTTGGGATCTTCTAGGGTTTTGCTTAGAGGTAAATGGTTCATTTGGCTACTTCACTGGGGGAAAGATATATTTTTTTTTCCATAAAAGTAGAAGTTTTTGCTTCAGCGATTGTTTATGATGTGAAATTGGAGGAAAAAAATGTGTTTCTATTACCATTATTTTAGTTTGCCCCAAATCTGAAATATACTGCCGGTGAATGGTAGCTCTTATTGAACAGTCGTACTAATACATGAAATCGATTGCGGTTTAGGCTTAATGAAGTGTAGCTTTTGAATGTGTTTAATACATGAAAAAAATGTAGCTTATTAGGCGATTGTTTAATACATGAAATTGGAGGGAAAAAAATGTGTTTCTATTACCATTATTTTAGTTTGCCCCAAATCTGAAATATACTGCCGGTGAATGGTAGCTCTTATTGAACAGTCGTCCTAATACATGAAATTGATTGCGGTTTAGGCTTAATGAAGTGTAGCTTTTGAATGTGTTTAATACATGAAAAAAATGTAGCGTATTCAGCGATTGTTTAATACATGAAATTGGAGGAAAAAGATGTGTTTCTATTACCATTGTTGTAGTTTGCCCCAAATCTGAAATATACTGCCGTGAATGGTAGCTCTTATTGAAGTGTAGCTTTTGAATCTACCAAGTTTGGGCTGCAGTGGCAGTGCAAAATGTGTTTCTATTACTATTATTTTTGTTGTTTGATGCTGTAGAATGTAAATTATGCCAATATTTACTCATCTATGTTCTGGTTGAACTCCTTTTTTAGATAAAGATATGCCCAACTTTATTTAATACTCACCCGTATCTCAAGTTGAGAAGTTGCAACAGGTTCTGGTCATGCTCAGAATCGCAAAATGCCCAGTGACTGTTTTAGTTATCGTTCATGAGGATTTCTTTCTTCATTTCCTTTTTCTTTTCCCTAAACTTTTGGCCACAATTCCTATTCTGTTTGGCATGACTGATACCTTAGCGCAGGTAGCCTGTGATGTTTCCTGAAGCTGCTATAGTATATCTATCTTTCTTTGACACATCTAGTACCCCTTTTTCAGTCTTTCATGGAATGCTTTCACTTTCTGTAGGTCTTTACCAGAAATTTTCTGAATCATGGTAGATTGAAGAAGAAAAAGAAAATAGAGAGGTTGTTGAATGCATACACTTAAGAATGTCCCCTTCAGGTTATGGAGCAATACGTCACCAGTCGACTGAAATGAAACTGTAAATAGGCTTCAAAACTTGTAATACTTAGACCTTGTACATCCAATTTCAATATGTAAATTATGCTGGCTATTTAACCAAACAAAAGAGTTTTTCCGGACTGGAGTTTGAACAAATCTTTTATTCCTGCTCCCCTTTTTGAGGTCGGAGTGGATTGGTCTGACGAGCCAAGTACAAATGTTCCCATCCCTTATGGCGAAATCTTTGATTTTTGATAAATTATGTAAATTTCATGGGCTAAATGTCCATAATTGTTAAATATATGTATATATCTGTACACGTTGCTCATCAAACATTTTTAATTGTTTATTGCTCAGCACATCAGAATCTATGCAAGACCATAGTATTATGACCTTTTTGTTTGGTACAGAAAACAATTATAATCTTTTAAGTGACTAGTGATGTGCCAGAATAGGTGTATCAACCATAGGTCATCTTATATACGAAGAAGTTCTCAAATGTTTATTTTTATTTATGCACCATAAGATTTTTCTCTAATTTGATTTCACTTTGTTATCTGTGTCATTGTTCCTTGTGAATCATAATCTTTTGTGATTAGTGATATTCTTGAATAGGAGTATCTACTGTAGGATGTCTTATATGCTAAGAAGTTCTCGAATGTTTATTTTATTTATTTTGTTTCTTTTAGTATTATTACTATTATTTGTCAATACTTGCTTTTGTCTTCAATAAATTGACATAAGTATGCCCATTATTAATTTCTTGTACTAACATTGATGTTGTTTCTTCATGTCTAGGATTACTACAAGATACTGGAAGTTGATTATGATGCTACTGAAGAAATAATCCGTTCCAACTATATTCGTCTGGCATTGGTTTGTAATATCTAATAGATCTTTTAACTTCCTATGGACGTTGAGCATGTAAATTTAGCATTCTGTTATTTAAGCATGAACTTGTGTTAGATAAAGACCCAGTGGTCAACAATTCCATTTCTTGGCCTTGGTTAAAAGTAAAAAGAAAAAAGAACTGG